TCCAGGTCTGAAGAAACAATTCCAATGGCAAAGCACGAGAAGTGTGTTTACCGTTTTTTTTTTTTTTCGTCTTCCCTTTTCTGTCGTTGCTCTCTTGGTTCCACTGCTTCCTTCTCTGCCTGCCTACGAATAAGGAATATGCTACGGGAGGCCCTTGGAGGTGCAGAAGGAAAGGGGGGGAAAAAAAAAACAGATGAAAGAGTTAAGAGAAACAGTAAAGAAAAAAAAAAAGGCAGGTGCTAAAGTGCACGACAGCAGTCGTCTTAAGCACACACATACACACACACAAACAAAAACAAAAATGTAGATATGAAGCGTGGAAGGCGCTCACAGCCGGAGAAATTCACTCCAAAGCCATCGCATGCGCCGGCAGCGTCATCACTGCCATGTGACCCTTTTGATCCTTCAGAGCAACACGACCACGCCCTTCCATGAAATCCCGCAGGAGCGTCAGCGCCACCGCTGGCGCGAGAGGCACAAACCCACGCCGCTCATAAGCCGCCACTAAATCCGCACCGTTCTCTAGGGTGTGTGGACCGTCGTTTACACTATCAACACCAGAGTTACGAGACTCATTCAAATCATCCCTGCAATGATTTTCCCCACCATCCTCATCGCTCCGTCTGCGCTTCCTCATGATGCGTGAGGATAGGAGTTCCGGTAAAAGAGGGGGCAAACACTTGGCCGCGTTTTCCCGATAATTCTCCAGCGCGGCAGTCATTTGTGCTTCAGATGCAAAAGCCACGGCAGTGACACCATCAGAGAGCTCGCAGCGGGCGACGACACCATCAAGGGTGTCGACCACAGAGGAAGAGACAGTTGCACACACGGAGTATGCGTAGTGTGCGAGCTGTGGCGGTAACGGCTGGGGGGTAAATAGGTTATTTTCCCCCGTGTCAAGACGACTGGCACGCTTCACGTGGATCGACAGCTCATGAAATGTCGGTGTTGGGCCCTCCCCCAGCCGTCGAAGTACATCCGCGGCCGTCGCCTCGTCACTGAAGTGCACGTAGGCGTGTCCCTTGTGTGTCCCGCTGTGTGATCCCTGCAGCAACTGAATATGAACGGCCTCCGGGAAAAGTTTTGCGAGAAACTCCTCAACCTCCTTCGCAGGGACACTCTTGGAAAGCCTGGAAACAAACAGCCTCACTGTCATGCTCAAACAAAATGAGGGGGAAAAAGAAGATTAGAATCCTTCGTCTTTTCAATCGTAAAACAAAAAAACAAAAAAAAAGTAAATAATAAAAAGGCACTGAAATTCAAATACAAAAAGAGCAGAAGAAAACAAACGAGGCACCTAACCCATTCCCACGCACATATACACACACACAAAAAATAATAATAATAATAATAATAATTGCAAGCCACCACCGCAACACAACAGGTATGAAACAGGGAAAAAAAAATAAATAAATAACAGGGACAAAAAAACAAAAAGCAATTCTCTGCACTTTCGCTTGTCGACGTTATCAATGTCGCACGCTAATCGTCGCGGTTGCCTAAAAAAGCAAACTGCCTGTTTTTTGATTAACCGCCATTTACCTTTTCCCCCTTCCTCCAATCAGCCTTATCCACGCCTTCTCCCACAATTTGTTGCATTTCTTTCTTTTGGTTGATTTGGATGTTGCCTGCCAACGTCACTTTTTTCGGAGCCTCGAGAGGATTTCTTCATTTTGCGCTTCGATACGACTGTTCTGCTGCCGCAAACGCTCCAAATCAGACAAAATAACGTTGAAGGACGCGGAGGAAATGTCACTGCTGGCGATGCTGCCGGCGCTGTCAGGCCGCCGCGACTGACGGGATTGAACTCGGGCATACAGACGGCTTAAAGTGTTAAACATCTCCTCCACCGTCTCAACATCAATGTTCTCCGCACCATTCACGACACCTTCTTGGTCTTGTTGCTCGTAAGCCTCGGCAAGATCCATAAGCGCATCGCGAATCTCACACGAGCGAGCCCTCACACAACTCGACGAGCTGGAAGCCACAGAAGGGAACTTTGCTGGAGCACCATTCAACGCCACAGGGTCCTGGTGTAAATGCTGCCGCAATTCTTCGTTCTCATTGGAGTCGATATTCACAACATCATCCTCCGGTGTTTTTGTCGGGCTTATCGATGGCTGCCCTTTTCGTGCAGGACTTCGCACTCCATATGTGGGGGCATCCGCAAATTTCACCTTTTCCCGCTCGTTTTCGAGGAGGTTGGCGGTAATTGACGGAGTCAGCGTCGCCTCGCTCTCAGCAACGGTGCGCATGTTGAAATTCATCGTGGTATCCATAGAAGTAAGAGCCGACAGCTCAACCATAGAGGCGGTTACGGCCACATCGGGTGCTTCTACGGCGCTAACGACATATGGCAGCTCCGTTGGTGCACCGTCGTTTTCCCACCCTCGCAAAGAGGGAATTTTTTGATCTGCCGACCCCGACGGTATCTGAAGAATGCTGTTCCCCCGCGCCAGAATTAGCACCCCACTGGAACTCGTTGTCGTTATAGAATTTTGTCTTAAAGATGACAACATCGCAGTGTTCGTCTTCTTTTGGCCTTTCTCACGTTCCTTGTGTGTGCGTCGGGTTGTTTCGTAGTAACCGTGAAGTTCCTGAAAACGGGACTGCAGCTCGGTATTCGTTGGAACATCACATGAAAGCGAGCGCCTCACGCCACCGTGCTCAGTCTGCTGTCGCGGCACCCGCTTGACGTCAGCTTTCAACGCGGATTCCAGTTTACTAAGCCGGTATACGGAAACCAGACCTCTCGACTCACACGTCACCAACGAACCCCCGTCCGCAGTGAAGCCAACGGAAATGATATTAGCGGAGTGAAGAGTACTTGCGTCCCGTTGAAGGGGGAGTTGGGCCACCGACTGTCTGTCCTTAAGAGAAACAACGGACAGTGTCCCCTCGCTGCGTAAAGCGACAAGATCACCATTGGGAGAGGCAACCACCTCCTTTAGCGCCGTCACTCGCAGAGGTTCTCCGACACGCTGCATCGTAGCGGGATCTAACACCACACAGGAGTGACGATGGACCACCAACAGCATGCTTCCGGTGACTTCAAAAGAGATGATATCTTCAGCCATGCCGACATTTTTCCCTGTCTTTAGGTTGACAACCAGACGCGCTGACGCGGCACAAACTGCACCGGCCACAGATACCAATTTTGCCAGCGGCGTCTTAAACCCCGTCAACCGCGTCACTTGCAGTCCTTGAAGGATAAATTCATCTTTAGCTTTCCACTGCCCTTTAAAGTAGAATAAACTATTATCTAAGGAAAGGCTAACAAACTGATCCTCTTCATGAATGGCCAGGCTCGTAAGAGGCTCATCGACGCCAAGACGGCAAAGTTCACGTTCCAAGTTGGGCATAACCGCAACAATTTCGTAGGCAGAAGAGTCGTATACCAACAGCACCCCAAGAGTCCTGTGATGAACAGCGCATGTACTTTCAATAGTCATGTCTGAATTTCTCCAATGCCTTGTGTCAAATAGCCGTAAACGCTGTGGAGACCACAAACAGAGCGTGTCTACGGTTAAGGGGATCCAGCGTAGCGGGCCCTCATCCGGCAGTACGGGAGTGTACTGATCAACTCGATGAAACGACAGCCTCGAGTTCCCACTAATGGGCCTAATGACGCGGTACCGCGACATATCTCCCCCGCTAAAAAAAAACACAGCTCGATCCTTCCCACACACAGCCGCCCCGGTGCATAGCGAGTCCATCAGTCGTGTCAGAAGCGATGAGCTCACAACGGTGGAGGGCCCATTTTGTTTGATCTTGCCGTGGAACTCCCATTTGTCAGAGGAGAAAAAGCGGACCAACGACCCACAGACAATGATGTTGTCCGCAATGCGGTACGCGGCAGTGGCGGGGCACACTTTACAATCCATCCACTTGACGGGTGCTCCATTACGGCAGTCAAATGACACCAAAAATCCCACGGTGGTTACAACCGTCAGCGAGTCCTCAGCTCCTCTGGGTGGAACAATTGCAACAAACTCGGCATCCCGCAACTCATTCACGACACTGCAGTTTTTGCTCAATACCGTAAAAACTGCCGTTTCGCCCTTTTCTGTCCTTGTGTTTTCCCTGCCGCCACCAGCACTCGGATGCCCATTCGCATTGACCCCACCCTCTCCATGTGGTTTCACTGTCCACAGCGTCACCTCCCGTTGCGTGCAGGAGGCAAATCCAAAGATGCCTGGTAACGCCACAATAGCATCAAGAGCATCCGCAGATCCCCGCCACAGCAGTGTCCGTGCGTTGGCGTCCCACATAGATAGTTTAAAACGTTCCTTAGAGAGATCTTGAGAGCCGCAAGAAACCACAAGTACGTCTGAAATCTTCTCGTATCCATCGATGAAACAAGCTGAAAAAACATTTTCACCCGTGATTTGCCTTGGGAGTCTCGTGGTTTTGCTACTAAGAGTGGGATTCGATGCGGTAGTCAAGTACAGGCCATCATGAGCAGTTCCAATACACAACAGCTCTTTTGTTTGGTGTAACACAATCACCGATAGCTCTTCTTCAGCCCCGAGAAATACGATCCGCATTGCAGCAATAAATTCCTCTTCTCGCAATGAGCGCTGCTCCGTGCTGTCGTCTTGCAGGGCACACACAACCATCATGTCTGGGGCGCACCCATACGCCAGCCACTTGCCATCACCACCCACAGATACCAACGAGGGTGAGCGGACAGCGTGGCCGGTGACCATTGAGGCCCGTTGCATCCTTACCCCTCTTCTTATTGTGTATTGTTGTTGCTGTTGCTGTTTCTCCCCCTACAGGGACTGGAGGGACAAAAAGACACTCTCCGCAAAAAAAAAAAAAAAAAAAAAATAAAGTAAAATAAAAAAGAAAATCAAATTGGGAGGCAAATCCCACAGCAGAACCAACAATGGAGGAAGAGAAAGAGAGAAGGGCGTGAAGTATATATATGTGAATGGAGGAAAAACAGTAACTCACACACACACGCAAACCAGCCGTGGAGGATTAAAGAGGCGGCATCACAGTATTTGCCGCATTTCCTCCGCGACAGGATCCCCTGATTGAAGAAAAAGCTCAAACGCCCGCTGTGCACTGCACACGTTGCGCTTGTGAAGCTCTACACTGACGCTAGGGTCTGTCGACACAAGTAGCACACATGTACAATTTGTAAAGGGGTGAAGCAGCGCAGTGAAGGTATCCGTGGTGATCTGAAACCCATCAAGGCTCGTCGAATTGTTCATGCAACTCAACTTAAAATGTTTCACCGTCTCACTAACTTCCGTCGTTCGAAACTCGCACCCCGGTGAACAAAACGCATTGCCATCGGTATCGACGTATGTGTCTTTGTTTTTGTTCTTTTTACTACTGCCTGCATCACCTGCAAATATTTCATCGGCATCTGTTCGGCTAACGTGTGTCAGGCACAGAAATGTGCTACGCTCATACAGAGCCACCTCCATCGCGTTGCAGCCAATGAGCAGTTTCTTCATCTCTTCCATGAGGACATCCCGGTGGGGTATGAGGGAGCGCACAACACTGCTGTACGCAAAATACAGCGAGTCCGACCAGATGCTCGTGGCAAAGAACTGAATGTTGCATGTACACTCGTCACCTTCAATTCGCGAGAGAATCTCCGCCTTCCTCGACTCAAAAATACTTTCACGAAGTTCCTTAGCGATGAGATCCATCTTATGCAACAGCACAAATATCTTCGCATGCGGGCTGTATTGTCGAATGTAATGCATGGCAGACTGAAAGTATTCCAACATCTCCGGCCGGCTCCAATCCGTTGACATCCCCCCATACGTGTCATTGCTCTCGCGGCTCATGCTGTTGATGTCAAACACAAAAAGCATCACACTGACACTGCGAAATATGTACTCCTTCTGGCGGTTGAGGTACTCCGCCACGTAGCGGTGCTGCCCACCGCAGTCCCACAGGTTGAGGTATAGGTTGTTAAACATGCGCACTTGGCTCTGGTCCAGCGAGATGGAGATACCCAGCCGTAAGACGTCACGTGGTAAATAATTGTCAAAGATGATGCTTCGCATGCACGTTTTCCCGGCCCCACCAGGCCCCATCAGTAGAAGCTTCTGGATTTGGTCCTGCATGACCCCCTTCTCCCACCCTAGCGACCCACTTGCCCAGTTCATGAGTGAAACATCAACCGGAAAAGACAATAATGTGGGAGGGGGAAATAAAAGAAAAAAAGAGAGCAGGTATGGTGCTTGTGAGTCATTGCCAACACGGCAGTGTACATTACATTCGCCGCCTACCATCTTCACCAATTCCCTCTTTTTCTTTATCCTTCTTTCGTAATAATAATAATAATAATAATTTATTTATTTGTATTCAAACAACAACAACAAAAAAAGGTCGCCACCACACACCATCACCTCCCCACACGCGCAATGTCTCTCCTATTCACACACACACATAAATATTTATATATAAATATGTATAACAAATCCTCTTACTCTTCTACTCCCAAAAGCCCCTTCTTTTTTTTATTCGTCACGAAAAAACAAAACAAAAACAAAAAACAAAAAACAAAAAACAAAAAAAAAGAAGAGTTGATGGCGATTCCATGTCACCGACACTTCCAGGAGTGGCACAAATGTTGTGCCAAAGCCATCCATGTGTGATGGAGGCTTCCCCACACATTAACTGATCTCACCCACCCTTCCTTCCCCCTCCTGAAGCTTCATTTCCTTGTTGTTTTCAGTATTCTGTTCACCACAAACAAGGGCACCATTAAATAAATATATAAATATATCTAAATTTATTTATTTGCTGCAACACCAACTGCAGAAAGCCCGAGGAACCCGTTTCCCTCACACGTACCACAATGACAACAGTGCCACTGTCCATGTATGCCCTTTATTTGAATATAAATCATAACTGCACACACACACACACACACACACACACAGAGAGAGAGAGAGAGAGAGAGAGAGAGAGAGAGAGAAACAAAAGGATATATGTAAAGGGAGTTGCTGTAAGCCCCCCCCAAAACAAAATTAACATGGAATTATCGTCCTGAGATGCATCATTCCTTGTGACATGTTCCCCATACGCCCTGGCGGAAGCAAACGGCCCAAAGCGTAGAGCGGCACAAGAAATATGTATTTGTTTCATATCGGAGTATCACGAGAGACGCAGTCGCTTACAGTTGCCTCCAGGCACATACGGGGAGGGCAGATGAGACATGTAATCGTAGTACGCAGTTCACATATACGCAAAAAGAAGAAAAAAAAGTAATAAAAATAATAAACTAAAAGTAGGTGGCAGGAGCAAACTGCATGGGCCCTCGCAACCCCCCCTCTCTTTCTCTCTCTCTCTCTCTTTTCACGGCAAACAAACACCTCGCCAGACACAAACACAAAAACACACACATTTCTCTTCTTCTTCTCACAGTCCATTGCTTGCTGTACACTTTATACGCCCCCCGCCCCATCACCTCAGAAACAAAGCAACCAAAAGAAGAAAAGAAAAAAAGAATGAAAAAAGCGTCCAAAAACAGTAACAGGATGGAAAAAAAAAAGAAGTGCGAAAACACGCAAACACACAAAAATACACACACGCCTTTCCCTCTCCCCCCCTCTATTCCACTCACTCCAATGCAACAATAACAGTAAAGAAAGTGAGATCCCGCATTCTTATTCCATAAACGCTGCAAACACAAACTCCCCGCATGGCTTTGGTGTCTGTGGTGAGCACGCACCAGATTCCACGGCTGATTTAAATTGCTTAAATCGCGGCTCTTCTTCTTCTTCTTTTCCGGCCCCAGATACGTGCATTATCATAATGGCCCCCAAATTGTTGTTAAACCCGCAGTAGTTTGGCACTGAGAAAAGTGTGAGCACCTTTTTTTCGTGACTCCAGTTATATCCCTGCGAAACAACCTGGTGAGCTCTGCAAATGAAGTCAAAGTGGTTCACTTGGCAAAATTCCTGAGTAGCCCTTATACCGAACATGTAGCCACATCCGCGCACATTTCTTTCAAAGTACGGTATCACTTCTGTGGGATCGGACCACAAAAGACCATCCACAACCTCGCTAAGGACGTTGTCGAGTACACTGCCGTAGTCTATTCGTTCAATTGTGTTTACAATGTCAAATGCCTCTGAAAGAGGTGGAGAAAGACCTCCGTGCGTGGCAAAAAAACGTATTCTCGGTGTCGTGACCACTGCGGCAAGAGGCAAATAACAGAACACTTCATTGAAACGTACCCATGGAGCATCACAACCAAATTTCAGATTCACCTCACTATAAAAACCATATATACGAGATGTTTGTGGCTCCTCGTGATTCCCTCGCAGGATATGAATAAGTTGCGGGTACTCCACCTTCAGTGCAAATAGCAGCAAGACCACCTCCACCCCGCACGGCCCCCGATCCACATAATCCCCTAGAAAAAGAAATTTACGGTCCAATCCATCTACATTTAGCTGCTTATCGGATTGCTCCGGTAAAATATGGGAGAGAAGCGCATTGAGATCACCATGAATATCGCCCGCGACCACAAGTGTCTCCTTTTCCTTTAATTGGAGATTTAACAATGTCTTTTCCATCTCCAAGACGGCTCTAACTTCATCGCAAAGCTGGTCCACCACCTCTGTGGTGAAGAACCGTCGCGCTTCGACATCGGCCGAAAGAGGCCTTCCATCGTCCATGGGTTTATTCGCGGCTTGTGACACGGGTGATGACGTGCCGGAGCGCAGAATACTATCAATAAGTTCCAAAAAAATGCCTTTTCGCGGAGGTGCAGAAAAAAGCAAAGAACGCGGCGAAAGTGTTCCAGCAGAGGAGGTTCCGAGGGGACTCCCATCGCTCATCAAACGGCCCAATTCCTTCTTTCCATTCCCCTGTGTCGCCTTGTCCGGGTCGTCGGTGTGCCTTTCCTCCCCGTTTTCGTCAAGGGCGAAGGCGACAACGCTCTGGCATTCCGGCAGTCCCTCCATTTCACACGCAATCCTTCTAGCCCTCCCCGTCCCCCTAGAGACACAAGCAGACACACACACACAAAAAAAAAAAAAAAAAGAAAACTAATAATTAATACTTTTGTTTTTCCTCCTTTTCTTTCTTTAGTTTCTATGTTTCAAAGTTATACTCTTCTTATGTTTCAAATCTTTTTTTTTTTTTTTGTTTCGCTCCTGGTGGCGTCTCCTCCTCCTGCCCTTCTAAATCCAGCAGAGACACACAATCAACAAGCAGAGAGAGAGAGAGAGAAAAAGGAAAAAAGGAGGAAACTCCAAGCGGTGAAGCAACGGAGAAAAAAAAAAAACACAAACACAAAAACTGCAGAAAAAAAAAAAAGAAAAAAAAAGAGAAAAACATAAAAGAAGACAGAAGTGATAGGCCGCAAAAAGTGCACACGTGTCAGAGGGAAAGCACCAGTAACAGGGAACCACAGCAACAACAAAGTCGGCGTAAAAAAAAAAAGAAAATAAAAAAAAAAAGAAATAAAAAGAGGTAAAAGATTGTAGCGGTGGTGAGAAGCCTTAAAAAAAGCAAAAAAAAAAAAAAAAAACAATTTCATTCATTTTGGGTGCCTCTCTTACCAATTTTTTCTTTTCCTTCACTCATTTTTTCTTTTTCTTTTTTCTTTCAACGTGTGTCTCTGTATGTTGCCTTTTAACTGACGGCTGGCCGCCACCTCTCGGTGTGTGTGTGTGTGTGTGTCTTTTTTTCCTCTCAATTTCCTTCGCTTTGGTCTCGCGGTACGCCTCCTACACCGCGATCGTGCATGTGTGCGCTCCCTGATTCGCTCCTCACATTCCCACCCCCTCTCTCCCCCTTTTTTGCATTTGTTTTTTTTTTTCTTTTGTTTTTTTTTTTGTTTTGGCCGCGCACCGCACACGCTTCGCGCTCACGGATCGTCTTCTCGGAATGTTTGTGTTTTGGGCGTCTGTTGCGTTCGCTCCCGATTCTGCCGCTTCTTCTTCTCATCGTCCCTCCCTCCCACCCTCCGCTGTGCCAATCACACATCTTTTCTGTTCATCGTTTTGCCCTTGTTTTTTTTTTTTTTTCCTTCTTTCACTGTTGTTGTTGTTTTTCTTTTGTTTTTTTTTTGTTTTTTTGTTCGTTTTTTTTTATTTTGTTTGTTCGTCTGGCCCGCCTCTCCCGTTTTAGTACTTTGAGCCCTCCTCCGGCTGCGGGAGTTTCTTGTTTGCCGGCTGCGCCATCTCGCGCCGCAACTCGGCAAGACAGTTCTCCATCGTGTAGCGGCGCTCCCAGTTCTTAAAAATGTGGAACTTCGTCTTGTCGACCGTGCCGTCTGCATTCACGCACGGCAGATTCACGCGGCTGACAAATTTGATGTGCGGCGGCCTGTTCGGGTAGTCTTCATCGCAGAAGATCTCTAGGGAAAGAATGCGATTCTCAAACGTTGTGCCGGCCGGTCCAACGATGGTCCCGTTCCAGTGATGGAGATAAATGTCGTCCGTGCCGCTAATGCCGACCGACACGTTCTGGTTCGACCCTGTCCCTTTTTCACCCGCCTCAAGTTCCTCCAGCAGACGGAAATTGCGCGGCACCTCCACCATCGTTGCGTATTGTTTGTGTGTCTTTAAATGTTACTTTACTTGCCTTCTCCGTGTTTCCCTGATTTTGCTCTTCCTTCCAAATAGAGAGAGAGAGAGAGAGAAAAGGACCTCAGAGCGCAACACGCACCGGCATGAAGAAAAAACAAAAATGTTAGAAAAGACAAGAAAAACAAACAAACAGCGGATATATATATATATACATCTGTATGTGTGTCTGTGTTTGTGGGTAAGTGTGCAGAAACAGGTTTGAATGCACGCACCGATTTGTTAATAAGGCTCACAAGGGTAGTTTTGACTCATCAATGCGTAACATTAATAGCAGCAAAGAAAGACAACAATGAAAAGACAAAAAAAAAAAAAAGAAAAAAAAAAAGGAAAAAAAAAAAGAGAAAGAGAGGAGAGTTGAGGACACGCAACAGTAAGTGATGTGATAGAGAAAAGTCATTCATTCAGTGAAAGAATGCATCCAGGGCGAAATCAAATATGTGTTGGGCACAATAAACACACCGCACAGGCAAGACGGGTAAAACCACATGTATATATATGTATATGTATATGTATCTACCCAATAGTAATGTACACCCATGTGTGCCTCTTCTTTTTTT